GATTTTTCTTTCATAACCTATTTATATGTTAATTTACTTTTTTATTGTTAATAGAAAAATAAGATCTATTTTCAAAACTCTTTTTTATTAATAACTAACTTAAAATTTAGAAACTTTCATAATAACAACAAAAACAAAATTAATTAAAATTTAGAAATTTTCTTTATATCAATTAAAACGAATTAATTATTTTAATATACAATATATAATTAACTAAAAATAATGATGATGTACCAATAGAATTGAATCTTTAAATCATATGTGGACACCCTTAGAGGTATTTAGCATCAGTTTTTATTAGTAACTAGGCTTTTAACTCGCGCTACGCGCGAATCTGTATTAATAATTTGGTTTAATTTTTTTCGCTAATATCTGTTAAATTATCAAAACTATAATATAATTATAGAAATTTTCTTTTATATAAAAAAATTAAAACATAATATATAGTTTTTTTATTTTTTGTTTATAAAATTATAAATCTTATTAAGTAAACATAATAATGACATCTAACGAATTATCGAGCTTCGATGTGCATACGTTTGATTTAGAAAATAATTTTCTTACTAAATTTTTGGTGTTTTGTTTTGTGTCCTTAGAATTTCTATAGTTCTTTTTTTTTAAAAGGTGTATATGTTTAAATATTTAGTATTGTACTAAATGTCTCACTGATATTGTGTACCTATACATATATAATATATGATATATGTTGATTCAGATTTACTTTTGTTAGTAAGCTACACAAATCGTGTAAAGCTGCTTTTTGCTTTTTCACCAGATCTTCTACGAATTTTAGGTTATATCTCTATTCAGTTTATAAGATCTGTTTTATTTGCAGTCAACTATTTGCTAATTTTTGATTTTAAACATGTAAGATGGTGTGGAGACTTTACATTATCATTGTTTTTTTTTATCTTTTGTATGTTTTATTCATGTTTTGCTTTGAATAGTTTACCTACATAACTTTTTCACATTTTATTATTTAAATCAAATTTTAGAAGATGTTGCTCATGTGTTGTTCATGTTGGCTAAGTTATAAGCAGTAACTATGTATACAAATCAGATTTTTACTTGTTATATTTTGAATGTAAAGTTAGTTGTGTAGTATTTTTCTTTGTTATTTTTTAAATCAGATGCATCCAAGATATTAATCTTTGTAAATTTGAATAATATGTTTGATTTAGAAACGTGTATAACATATTATAACGTTATATGGTTATTCATAGTCAACACCAATATTTTAGAAATCATGAACTTTCTGGAACTAAATTTCGAACTAATTTTCTTCTTAGATTTTGTTTTTTTTATTATTTTAAATATCTTTGCTGATAATTTTATATTTTATGTTTATTATCTAATTTTTTGCATGTTGATAATATTTAAAACATATACATTTTTTAATTAATCTCTTTTGTTATTGATTTTTGAAATGCATATATATTAATTTAAAGTCTTTTACGTAAATATTTTTTCTATTTTAAATTTACTTTTAAAATTAATTAAAATGCTATTTTGACATGCAATAACTGGTTATTCTAAAAATCATGTGAACTTTTCTCAAAAATTTATACCATCATTTGTTTTTTTTAGTTAATATTTTTTTGGTAGTTAGCCAAAATATCAAGATAATTTTATTTTATACTACATTTTCCTTTGATAATTTACCTCTCTTGATATTGGTTTTTATTTTATTTTAACACACAATTGTTTTGAAAATATTTGTATTTTGAAGACATAATTTCATTTTTTATTTTTTGTTAGTTAAATGTTTTTATATTGATTTATTAAGTAGTTAGTCAGATATCAAGTCAATATAGTTTTAGGTGTTTTTAAAAAAAATTAACATTTTGTAAAACTTAATTTTTGTTTTAGTTTTTTAGTTAATTAATTTTTTAATATTGATTTCTTAAATAATTAGCTAAAATATTTATATTATTTTTGTTAGTTAAGTTCTTTAGTATTACTTCAATTTTTTATTCTCTTACATATTCTGTTTAACTTTCTCGATATAGACTTTCATTTTAATTGTATTGACATGTTGCAAGAAATATGTTTTTTGTTAATTAATTTGTTTTATACTGCTTTCTTCAGTAATTAGCATAAAGTTTCATTTTTGGTTAGTTAAGTTTTTTGTGTTAATTTTCAAAATAATTGCACTAAATATTAACTTTTAGATGACTTTTTCTTTTGTTAATTTGACATGAATTTGTTTTGGTAGTATTGATATTTTTAAATAAAATTTTATGTGCTTATATAAAAATTTAATCTTAATATTTTTTTCTAAAACTATTAATCATTTAAAATATACATGCTAAAATTTTTCTTTCATTTAATTTACCTTTTCTGTTATTGATTTACATATTTGTTTTTGTTAGTTTAGTTTTGTGAGAATGAGTTTCCATTTTATTTTGACAATCATTATAAATTTGGATTTTTACCATAAATTTATTTTATTTAGTTAAAAAAATTTATCCTAATTTTCCATTCTACTATGATAATTTTATATTTTTAATGTTTTAATTATTTAAATTATTAATAATATATAATATTTTATGTTTAATGAAAAACACTGATATAGACCAATCAATTTGAGTATATATGTCATATGTAGATGCTCTCATTGACCTAAGACATCAACACGGACCACAAATAATATATTTTAAGTTAGCAGTTCAAATTTTAATTTTTTGTCTTGATTAAAAATTTAAAATAATTTAATTATAGTTTTAAATAAAGTTTTTAATTATTTTGTTTAATATATATGATTTTTCTATCATAATTTATTTATATGTTAATTTAGTTTTTATTGTTAATAGAAAAATAAGATCTAATGTTCAAAACTCTTTTTATTAATAACTAACTTAAAATTTAGAAATTTTCCTTATAACAACAAAAACGAAATTAACTAAAATTTAGAAATTTTCCTTATAATAATTAAAACGAATTAATAAATTTCAATATGCAATATATAATTAACAAAAGAATGATGATGTGTACCAATAGAATTGAATCTTTAAATCCTATGTGGACATCCTTAGAGACATTTAGCATCAACTTTTATTAGTAATAGATAGATATGATGTGAATTTACTTTGATTATCCTTAATACAATTAACAAATTAACATAATCTAATTTTTAATTGATTTTTTTAAAAAAATCTAGATTTCTAAATTTGAGTTTATATCACAAAAATATTCAGTTTACTAAAAAAATATAACTAGCATAAATAAATAAAATCCTAATTATTTGATTAAACTAATTTTAATTTGATTGTTTAAACTAATTTTAATTTGATTGTTTAACCTAAATATATTTTTGACTAACCTAATTGATTTATGCGACCACAAGTAAAATCCTAAATCATTTAAACCCTTTTAAAATTATATATATATATATTAATTAATGTTAAATTGATATGAAACAAGGATCCTTTGGTTCTGATCATTTTGGATTGATATGTTTTTTTTATGCAAACTTTGAATTTCATTAAACTTAATCTACCAATTTACATAAAAAAAGAGAATTATTTATCATGTTTGATAAATGCAAAAAAACAATAAAACATACATATAAGTTTTTATCGCATAATATAAAAGATATTAGAAAATAAGATATAAATAATATATTTTGCTTTGTTACACAAAAACAATATACTCATGAAAATTGTATTTTTTTAAAAATATATTAAGTTTAGTTTCGAATCATTATAAAATCTGATTTTTATCTATAAATAAACTAATGTTATACTTTAAAAAAAAAATTAATCGAACCCTGCACAAGGTGCGAGAAACACCTAGTTGATAACATTGGGACTTTGAAATTTTATTAATTTATCAGATTAGATAAAATAAATTGTTTATTAATAATTAATTAAAAATAATATTTTTTTAGAATTTATATTATTTTCAAAATTTTCATTATAAAATTAGAGATAAATGATAAAATTATTTCAATTTTAATACGAAAAATAAAAATATTTTAATAAATTATCATAATTATATATTATAAAAAATATTTTATATGATATTTATTAATTTATGATATTAATGGGACTATATTTTACATAGTTTTTTAAAAGAAAATATTATATTTTGAAGCGATCCAATTCAGGACCGAACAAAATTATTGATTTATCGAATTTATTAATCTATCGAATATTAATTTATAAAATTTCTACTGTATATTAAAAGTTCCATCAATCTGGATTAGATACACAAGTTAATTGCCAATTATAGAGCTATATATATATGGCTATATGATGACACATTTTTATTTGTCGATTTTTTATTTAGCCGTAAATTTTTACTATAGAACTGCTGCGAGTAGTGTAAATAAAAAATATAGTTTTGAGATATCGAAACTATAGAAAAACCACAAATTTAACAAAGAACAAGTATAAATTTATATACTTGATTTCTAAAGTTTTTATTTCATACTAAAAACTAAACAAAAAAAAATAGATAATGTTTAACTGTTCCATTTTTTCCTCTTTAATTTTTGCTATGCGAGAAACAAATGTAAAATTTAGTTGCTCATTTCCCATTTGGAAAAAATTTAATCCTTAAATAATTTTATAAGTTTCTTACGAGTACTTAGATCACTGCTGACATCACCATTCTAATTGAAACCATTAAATAGCTAATAAACAAAAATCATCGACTTATTGGAGTATGGAATTATTGACTTTCTCCCATTTCATCATCATCAATAATTGTTACTGCTTAAAATATCTTATTTTCTGACAGTTTATGTGGGGATTACACATCTCCTGTCTCGGGATGATTAATCTACAAAGGGATAAAATTTCAATTTCTTTGTTTATAGGATTCCTCTTTTAAACACGTCAAGATTCTTCCTAACTCAAGATTCTTTCTTTCTATTAACGAATTAATTATTAAACAAGTGCTACTACCTCGAAGAATCTTTCAACTATCACTCCTACAAATTTCAGGAGAAACACATTCACTTTCCCATTAACAACGCAGAGCAAGAAGAAGAAGAAATGGCCACGTGTCCTCCTTTCGACTTCTCGGCGAAATATTACAACGGTGACGGAAGCGGATGCGAGAGGCAGACCAGCTTCTTCGGAGGTACGGCGGTGCTCGATCAAGGGGTTGGCTACGCCGTTATTCTCGGTTTTGGTGCTTTCTTTGCCGTCTTCACATCTTTTCTGGTTAGTTTCCTTTTCGAATAACCAAATAAGAAAAAAATTAAAATATCATAAAACCCAAGAAATTAAGTTAATTAACATAAAAAATATCATTAGCAATAAGAAAACTAATTAGCAATATTTTTAGCAATTAGGAATAGGAAGCTAATTAGCAATATGAAAAAATAAAATATCATAAAATCCAAGAAATTATATATCTTCTTTAATGTGCTCGTGGCCACACAAAAGTATACCTTATATCATTTGGTTCCGAAAATAAAACAAACGACTGTACTTTTCAACGTTCACATACGCCCAAGCCTAGATGTTAATAAGGATTTTTTGTTTTTGTTTTTGTTTTACTTCTATTTTTTAAAGAAATAAGTATATTTTATTTAGAAATCAATTTGAAAATGGTGGCGTACGTGTATTGTTTAATAAATGATATACAATTAACAAAAATTTTATTTTTCTTAGACAACTCTGATAAATTTTATGAGTGGATGAGTGAAGGTTTGGTTGGAAAAACGATATGTGGGGGCTCAACATACCTCGGAATGGTTCAATACAGCCGGAAGAAACGTTAAGACAGGACTCATTGCAAGTGTCATTGTGTCACAGGTAAAATTATACGATTTCACAACTAAGTTTTAAACTGTAAATTTGGTTGCAGTACAATTGATTTATATTTGTTGGTCAATGGTTGGGAAGTGGACATGGGCTGCGACCATACTCCAAAGTTCCAACGTCGCATGGCAGTATGGTGTTAGTGGACCGTTTTGGTATGCTAGTGGAGCCACCATACAGGTTAGTTCCAAAAAGAGAAACATGCTGTATAATATAATTCTATATACAGTAAAATTTCTATAAATTAAATAATACTGAGACTTTAAATGTTTTTAAAAAAATTATTAATTTATAATGATTATTAATTTACAGATATATTATTTGGTTGATAAATTAATTTTGAGATTGATAAAAAATATTAATTTATCAAAATTTTAATAAATCGAATATTAATTTATAGAGATTCTACTGTAGTAATGGTTTAGATTCTATATATATACATAATGATGACTAGTGAATGATAATGAACAATATAGGTACTATTGTTTGGTGTGATGGCGATTGAGATAAAGAGAAAGGCTCCTAATGCTCACACGGTCTGCGAAATCGTGAAGGCTCGGTACATACATTCTCAATTATTTGGTTTATTTCATTAGTAAGGCAAACATCTAAACCAACCAGAATTGTCTGAACAGAACATAGCCATAATTTTATAACAGTTTTAGAGTTTTTCAAAGTGAACAAACCAAATCACCATCAAACTAAGTCAAACAGAATAGATCAAATTGAGCTGAAAAACTGAAATGCTTATCCCTAATATTTTGTGTGTTTAAGATTAAATTGGGTTTTATTTAATACTTAGCTAGTGGTCAGACCAAAGATTAAGCACGGTTACGTTTATTGATAAATTAGAACTACTCAAGCATATAAGTTTGGGACTTTGAGGTTAATGTATATGTTTTTTTATTACATTAGTTGGGGAACCGCAACACATATAGTGTTTTTGGTGTTTTGTCTGGCGACCAACGTTGTAGTGACGGCGATGCTCTTGCTCGGCGGCTCGGCCGTGGTAAATGCTCTCACCGGAGTGAATATATACGCCGCAAGCTTTCTCATCCCTCTCGGCGTTGTTGTCTATACTTTGGCCGGAGGACTTAAAGCTACTTTCCTCGCAAGCTACGTTCATTCCGTCATTGGTAAATTATATATGTATCTTTAAAATGATATTTTTATTATGTATATCGGATAAACCCTTACAGTTAATCAATTTTTGTTTACTTCGTTTGTTTTTCAGTTCACGTGGTTCTAGTCGTCTTTGTGTTTCTCGTCTACACTTCGAGCAGTGAGCTTGGGAGTCCGTCTGTGGTCTATGACCGGCTAAGAGATATGGCTGCTAAGTCAAGGACATGCACTGAGCCGCTCTCGCACCACGACCAAGCTTGTGGTCCGGTTGACGGCAACTACAGAGGCTCTTATCTCACCATGTTGAGCTCTGGTGGTGCTGTCTTCGGTCTCATTAACATTGTCGGAAACTTCGGCACTGTCTTCGTTGACAATGTAAGATTTATTCTTTTATCTGAATATAAACCCGTCTAACCTTTTCGGATCTTTTGCACAAGTTTTAAAATTATACCCATTTTGTGTGTGTAGGGTTATTGGGTGAGTGCAATAGCTGCTCGACCTTCATCGACGCACAAGGGATATTTGCTCGGTGGACTCGTGTGGTTCGCTGTGCCTTTCTCCCTAGCTACCTCGTTAGGCCTTGGCGCACTAGCCCTTGACTTGCCTATATCCGCAGATGAGGCTGACCGAGGTCTAGTCCCGCCTGCTACTGCCATTGCTCTCATGGGTAAACCTGGATCCTTGCTTCTCCTCACTATGCTTTTCATGTAAGTACACTCACTCTAGATCACACCTTAAACAAGTTTTAGCATACCAAAAATTACGAGTGGATCATGGATGTCTTGGTGCTAATAAGTTGTATTGCTTTGCACGCAATAAATTAATTCTCTATAAGTTAGCTTAGTTTCTTCTTACGCAAGAAACCTGTTTACCCTCAGGGCTGTAACATCGGCTGGTTCTTCAGAGTTAATCGCAGTCTCATCGCTTTTCACCTACGACATCTACCGAACATACATAAACCCTAGAGCAACCGGTAAACAAATCCTGAGAGTCTCAAGATCCGCGGTTCTGGGATTCGGATGTTTCATGGGGATTCTTGCAGTGATCTTGAACAAAGCCGGTGTTTCTCTCGGATGGATGTATCTCGCAATGGGAGTTCTCATTGGCTCTGCGGTTATCCCCATCGCGTTCATGCTCTTGTGGAGTAAAGCTAATGCTTTTGGTGCGATTCTTGGATCGATCTCTGGTTGTGTTCTTGGGATCGTTACTTGGTTATCAACCGCAAAGATACAGTACGGACGCGTTGATCTTGATACCACAGGGAGAAATGCTCCCATGTTAGCTGGTAACCTCGTCGCGATTCTAACAGGTCAGGATTCTAATAGTTTCTTTGGGTCATTTCGGGTTCCATGTGAAGATTTTGATAAGATTTTGGTTTGGTTTGGTTCATAGGAGGGTTGATCCATGCGGTGTGTAGTCTAGTCCATCCACAGAATTACGATTGGTCGACGACGAGAGAAATCAAAGTGGTTGAAGCTGAGGCTTCAGGGGACAATGTTGATGTTCCTGTGGAGGAGCTAAGAGAAGAGAAGTTGAGAAGAGCCAAAGCTTGGATTGTGAAATGGGGTCTTGTCTTCACTCTCCTCATTGTTGTCATATGGCCAATTCTCTCTCTACCAGCACGTAAGTTTCAAAATTTGTTATAAAGTTTATAGACGTCTTTACACAGGCTGTTTTAAAAAAAATATATAGTTTTTAATCATTATCTAAATCATGAACATTTCGAAATATTGCAGGAGTGTTTAGCAGAGGATATTTCTGGTTTTGGGCGATTGTGGCTGTAGCTTGGGGAACTATTGGATCGATTGTGATAATTGGTTTGCCTTTGATCGAAAGCTGGGACACGATCAAGAGCGTTTGTATGGGAATGTTCACTAACGATAGGTTAATGAACAAGCTTGATGACTTGAACCATAGGCTTCGAGCTTTAACCATGGCTGTACCAGAAGCTGAGAGGATTTATTTGCTTGAAGTCGAGAAGATCAAGAAAACCGATGAAGAAAGTTGAAGAAAGAATCAATATTCTTCTTTTGTTTATATGCTTCTACTTGCTTAGCTTTCTTGTTTGTGTAAAATCATATCAAGCCATCTTCTGTAGTCCTGTTGCACAACGTGTTTATCATCTTTGATATAAAGTGTATGTATATAAAATCAATCTAATATTGTTGATGATGGGGATGATTGGTACTTGTTGTAGATGCTGTATACAGCAAATTTTTTTTATCTGAGCCAATCATGCTTTATTTTCTTTAACAAAAACCACAGCATCTACAGCAAAATTTCTACACCCCAATTTTAAGAGATTTAGTTTGACATTTTCTCTTCCTTCCATATGATTCATTAGTTATTACTTTTTCTTTCTATTTATGTTACTTACATATTTTACATATACAGACAAAATTTAAAGCTACAGCATCAATCAATCAAGCCTGATATCAAGGTATTTGACAATGTCCTTAAAAACTATTTTAAACTATAAATGCTAAATCATGCCCCCTAAAATTGAACTCTAAAAACTACACTATAAACCTGAAATTACTTTCACCCAAAAAATTAAGTTATTTACCATATAACACCTAAACTTTAGCCTGGTTTGGTTTTGTTATGCTTAGCTAAATTCAATTTTGGTTTGATATGGGCCAAGGCCCGATATATCGTTACTTGGATTTAATAAACCAATATAAATGAAACTCGACCCGGAAGTGTATCCGGGTCCTTAAGTCGCGTGTTTCTTTCTTCTTCCGGAGTTTTTTCACCAAATCCACTTTCCCCCATTTCTTCCCCAAACTCTTCTTCGTCTTCGCTTCAGCCATGGGAACCCTATCTCTGTCATCTTCTCTCAAACCTTCCCTCGTTTCCTCAAGACTCAGTTCATCTTCCTCTGCATCTTCTTCCTATTTTCCGAAACCCAACAATCTCTACCTCAAACCCACCAAACTCGTTTCAGCACCCTTAAGAACTTCTCAGTCGCCATTAAGATTCGCCAATGCTTCAATCGAGATGTCGCAGACACAGGAGGCAGCTATCCGCGGCGCAGAGTCCGACGTCATGGGTCTACTCCTTAGGGAACGAATCGTCTTTCTCGGTAGCAGTATCGACGATTTCGTCGCCGACGCCATCATGAGCCAATTGCTGCTTTTAGATGCTAAAGATCCCAAGAAAGACATCAAACTCTTTATCAATTCCCCTGGTGGTTCCCTCAGGTTAAATCTTGATTTTGCTTCCTTTTCTCATCTGGGTTTCTGGGTCAGTGGCAAAGTTTCAGTCATTTACTACAATTAGGATCATTCTAAGCTGTATCCTCATAAATTAGGTCATATTCTAGGGTTTAAGCTGGCATTGCGAGGAAATTGAACATTGTGATAAGTTAATATGCAGTTATAGTGTCTTCTCAGCTAATTCGTTAAGAGCAATCCGATAAATTTGCTATGCCAAAGCTAATTTTCAGCTCAACTTAAGTGTCACCTTAGCTAATTTGCTATTTGAATGTTTAGTGTAATTCACTAATTTTGCTCCCAATCTGATAATCCAGTGTAAGAGAATATATAATGTTTGATAGTGTTTATCTTTGCTTCAAATGATCTAACTTGATGCTCTCTTTTTTGTTATTATCTGTTAGTGCAACCATGGCTATATACGATGTGGTTCAACTTGTGAGAGCTGATGTCTCGACGATTGCTCTTGGCATCGCTGCATCAACAGCTTCGATAATTCTTGGTGCGGGAACTAAAGGCAAGCGCTTTGCTATGCCCAACACAAGGATAATGATTCACCAACCACTTGGAGGTGCGAGTGGTCAAGCTATAGATGTTGAGATCCAGGCTAAAGAAGTTATGCACAACAAGAACAATGTCACCAGCATTATCGCTGGATGTACTAACCGGTCCTTTGAGCAGGTCCTGAAAGATATTGATCGAGACCGGTACATGTCTCCGATCGAAGCTGTTGAGTATGGTTTGATTGATGGAGTTATTGATGGAGACAGCATCATTCCTCTGGAGCCTGTTCCTGATAGAGTGAAACCGAGAGTGAACTATGAGGAGATCAGCAAGGACCCGATGAAGTTTTTGACTCCGGAGATACCTGATGATGAGATTTACTGAAAAGCCAAGCTCGTGTAGAACCAGGTGATTTGATCATATGATAGTCTCTATAGCTACTTTCTTGTTGATGTTTGGTGAACGAGAACCGATTGATAATGCAGAGTAATTAGTCATTTGTTCTTTTATCTCCAGGTACCTTTCAATGTGACTGAGACTGGTAAGTTCAGAGGAAAAAGCTTGATTACCTCTGCGGTCACTGGTGAGATTGGCTTTGCGAAATCGAAGTTGACATTGATAGCACTTTGTATCTTCATATTTTGCTTGTTCAGAAAGATATTTGTTCTTTAAAAAAACTCTGTTTTGAGCATAACGACTTAAAGAAGCTGTAGTTGATTTCATCTATGCCAATCTCTCTTCAAGTGTTCTATGGATTCAAGAACTATCAGTCTACTTGTTTATTTATTCTTCCATGAATTAAAAGTTTCCTTTCATCAGATTCCATGCAAGCTACACTCTATTTCCAGATTCTATATAAAGATAACAGACTTCAGAATTTGTTTTGATATCAGTGTCTCCATGAAAAGCTATTCCTTCACTTCTTAGATTTGGGCTGTAATTGGGCCTATACATAGGCCTTCTCGTTATTTCATTGAAGCTTGCAGTATAAGCTTAATTCCGGTATTACATTGTAATGTAAGATATTTTTTTTCTTTTTGAATTCAAATCGTCGCATCAAAACGCTACTCGATTTCGAGATTATCACTCATTTTCCTTATCGGATCAGTGCGAGTTCACTTCACCATCAAAACGCTACTCGATTTCGGGGGTTTCGTTGGAAACGATGGCGGTGAATCTGATGGCGGGAGCAATTACGAAGATGTTGGCTGGAGAAGTGACGAGTGAGAAAGAGTTGACGCCGATTCTGCAAGTGACGGAGCTGACACTGATTCAGCCACGGCGGCAAAACAGGGATAGATACAAGCTTTCGCTAGCCGATGGGATCCAATCGCAAGAAGGAATGATTAATGCTAGCTTGAACTATCTGGTGATTCAAGGGAATATCCAAGTCGGGTCGATTCTAAGACTCACTCATTTCGTCAGCAACTGCATCCAGTACCGAAGGTAAAAAAAAAAAGCCTCATTTTTTGCATGTCGATTAAATGAACAGTGGAGCTTTTTGGTTTAGCAAGTAACGTTGAATGAATCCTCTCTCAAATTCATTGTCTCCCATGTATTTTCTTAGCCATAGATTTCAGAATTCTGTAAATGATTTGTAAACCGAACTTGTTTGATAGAGTTGATCTCTAATGACAGGCTTATTCTTATTGTGGAGTTAGAGATTATTGCGGAGAAATGCAATATAATTGGGAATCATGTTCCTCCTATACAAAGGGCCAAGCCTGATGATCCTGATCAACAACGTGGGGAGGTTTCTTCTGTAAACACACAATGCATGGGTGGTTTTGAGCAGAACCAAGCTAGAAGGAGTCAATTGAATGGTGTAGTAGCCGATTCACCTCAACCTCAGTTTGGTCATAGACAAGCGTTTGGTACTGCTTCTGTTTTTCCAGAAACACCATCTTCCACTAGATCATATGTGAGCTCAAATGCAGGTTATGATCTTACGGAAACACCATCTTCCACTATATCATATGTGAGCTCAAATGCAGGTTCTGGTTTTCCAGAAACACCATCTTCCACTAGACCATATGTGAGCTCAAATGCAGGTTCTGGTTTTACAGAAACATCACCTTCCACTAGACCATATGTGAGCTCAAATGCAAGTTATGGAGGTTCTAGGCACGAGCAGCCTCGAGCTCCTGAAACCGCTTATTGTCCAGTTCAGTCGGTTTCTCAGCCTCAGCCACCACCTTTGTATGTTAACACGAGACCAGTGGCTAAGAACAATGAAGCTCCTCTAAGGGTAGTTCCAATCGCTGCTCTGAACCCTTACCTGGATCGGTGGACCATCAAGGTCAGGGTCACGAGTAAAGGAGAACTTATGCGGTTTAGTAGTACGCATGGCGATGGGAAGGTATTCAGTTTCGATCTGGTTAATGCTGACGGTGGAGAAATACGGGTGACTTGTTTCAACGATGTGGTTGATCAGTTCTTTGACCTGATTGTACTTGGTAATGTTTATCTGATCTCCAAGGGAAGTTTGAAGCCTGCTCGTAAGGAATATAATCATCTTCCCCATGACTTTGAAATACATTTAGACAGTGTATCAACGGTACAGCAGTGCTACGAGGACGATGCAACCATCCCGCGAAATCGATTCCATTTCCGTAGCATAGGTGATATTGAAAGCATGGAGAGCAACAGTATCACTGATCTAATTGGTATTGTGTTGTCCATCAGTCCAAGTGGATCGGTTATGCGGAAGAACGGGACTGAGGCACAGAAGAGGGCACTTCTACTTAAGGATATGTCAGGGAGAAGCGTCGAGGTAATAATGTGGGGTGGTTTCTGCAACACGAAAGGACATAAACTGCAGAACCTTTATGATTCTGGGGTGTTCCCGATTCTTGCTTTGAAGGCTTGCAGGATCAGTGAGTTTAATGGAAAGCAAGTGAGCACTATCGGATCAAGTCAGTTCTTTATAGAGCCAGATTTCCCTGAAGCCAGAGAATTGAGGGAATGGTATGAGAGAGAAGGACGGAATGCTCCTTGTGTATCAATCTCTAGAGAGTTTTTAGGTGTTTCCAGACAAGAGGTTCGTAAAGTAATCACTCAAATCAAGGACGAGAAGCTAGGGACTTCAGAGAAACCAGACTGGATCACAGTGAGTGCCACCATTTCATTCATAAAGGGAGACAGTTTCTGCTACACAGCTTGTCCTATCATGAACGGAGATCGCCCGTGCAGCAAAAAGGTAACCAATAACGGAGATGGGATTTGGCGGTGCGAGAGATGTGACCGATGTGTGGATGAATGTGACTACGTGTATATGTTACAGCTCCAGTTACAGGACTAACCTGGGCCACAGCATTTCGGGAAGCTGGTAAAGAGATAATGGGAATGCGTGCAAGTGATTTGTATCATGTCAAGTATGAAGAACGGGACGAGGAAAAATTCGAGGACATCCTCCGCAAGGCTGCTTTCACCAAGTACATTCTCAAGCTGAAGGTTAAAGAAGAAACTTATAGCAACGAGCAACGGGTTAAAGCAACAGTTGTGAAAGCTGACAAGCTGAACTATTCTTCAGATACCAGGTTCATGCTAGAGGCAATAGATAAACTCAGAACAGAGAACGCAAACCCTCTCCTTGTAAACGCAGAGAGGTCTAACACAACAGTGGACGTGTCGTGCAGAGAATCTGGATTACCTGCAGCAAACCAAGTGAGTCGACATGTAAATCAATTCAGTAGCGATTCAAGATCTCTTGGCAGTATTACATGCTGTAACGCATGTGGTAGCAATGGTCATGTTTCTGGCAACTGTCCAAGCTTTATGAGTGAGCCACAAGGACAGTACACGAGTATAGCTCATGGAAGCACACCGAGGCAACATGTTGGCAGCTATTAGAAGACCTAAGCAACTATTTCACATCATCATCTTTCATTGGACACTGAAGATGTTGGTGCTTTGTATAAATTACCGTTATTAGGGAAAATTATTCACCTTTTATTTCGACCCACTTAAAGGGAATACAACGACAATAAAAATAAATTACAAAACCTTCCCACACACAAAACACCCAATCCTCACATAGTAATTTGTAGGTTTAATAAGAACATACATCAATAACAGAGTCCAGTTGATTTAGCAGATTCTCCAACGTTAGCATTGTAATAAACCTCCTTCACTCTTCCCCCTGCACCACAATTTCCTTTAGCAAAGACTGAATCACCAGAGTCCTGGTCATATCCAGCACCAGCAGTAACAGTAGATGTTTGAGCAACCGTTCTCTCAGCTACCGCTCTGAGACGGTAACGTTCAGCTCTCGATCCAATCACCTGTCCCAAGATGGAAGCTCCAATGGTCAAAGCCATGGCTGTTTTCAGCATCAGCACAGATTTCCTCAGCATTGCTATAAAAAGGCACATCAGCATGAACCGCCACAAACCACGAAGGCGAGAACTTTATGGTGTGTTCTCTCCACACACCGAGAGGCACGTTTGCAGCCATCCCCATGAGAGCGATTGCAAGCATCTTCTCAGGTAAAGGCTGAGGACGAAGGCTTTTAACCAATGGGGTCTTCAAAAGCGCGGCTCTTACAGCTACTATAGGAGTCGTACATCTGAATTTCGCACCAGATGGTGGCTGTAATGCTTTAGCCACAAGAGGCATGACTTTGCTTGCGGCTTTGTAAGATTTGGCTATTGGACAGTTCCCGGTTTTTAACCATTTGTCTCCAACTGCCTCGTGTTTCGATGAGTCCCCTGACTGCAAACAAGCAAGCAAAAATGATTTTAACTTCTTGATCCATTGGAGATTGATAGTCTTTTTTTTACAATTTACCTGTTGTTTCGGTTTCTTCTGTTGTATCTACCATTTCTCTAAGAAGGGACCAAATCCAAAAGGCCCTCCAGGACCAAAAGCTGATAGGCTTATGGTAACGACCTTTCCCGCAAGAGGATTGAATTGCGGAGTAGCACGAGGAGGACGAGTCTTGTCTTCGAGGTCATCTCTGAAACTCGAATGTCCAGAAAGCGGCACAATACTGTCTTTCCCATGGAAGAGCTTGAATGCTGAATCAAATCCAGGACCATCCTCAAAAATTGGACCTTTACTACCTCCTTCCACCTGAATCGAAATCAAAGTCCCACGACAAGATATAAACTTTATCACCATTTGAATCAAAAAGAGCACATAGAGTTTCGGGTTTAAAGGTACGAAAATCTTACGGGAACTGGAAAACTCAAGGAGGAGAAGGAGAAATTGGTAGACTTGTTGATGTTTCTTAGGAAAGAGCATTTCTGGATAATGCTCTCGGCAACGAAGGGACACTGAGATGATTCACGATGATCCATTGATTTCCTTTGCCGCCGAGTATATAGCCTGAGGAATTGAGATTACAAAGAGGAAAACAGACGATTTGATCTCAAGAAGAAATAAACAAACCCAGGATGGGAAGAACAAAAAACGAAATACCCAAAACTTTAAATACACTCTCGTGTATCGAATTAACCCATCAACCCTAATTTCCAATTGAAAATAGGACGATTGAGAGATTCAGCAGATAATCTCTCTCTATTGCTACCTACGAGTAATTTTTGTCAAAGATTAAAAAAAAAAATTGATCATGAAACCTAGGCAAGAGATATGCTTCCAATGCAGACAAACAAATATAATGTTATGATCAATGATAAATCAAGAAATTTGAATCGAGAAAATCACCGGAGATTTTTGATTGTTCTCTCCTGAAAGAATTTTGCAGAGCAGCTTCAGATTTTTTGATAAAACGTGTGGTGAGCACAGACGTATATAGAGGTACTGGTTGAGCCGGTGAAAATCGTGAAAGAACCTTGAGAGTGCTCGCTTTATGTAACTGGTGATCACCGGTTGATATGTAGCTTGGTTGACTCTATCTGTAGCACGTGGTTCGGTGAGAAAAACGAACAAATATGACTATTTTGCCCTTGAGGATCCCATACTTTTTGTCGTTGTTTGTGATAATCTGATCCAACGGTAGAGAATTAGTGGAGTATTCTCTAAATCAACAGTAGAGATATTGATGAAAATGTATTCTCCAGATGATATATACGATAAAATTAAGGATTTTTTTACTAGGATGATTTTGAAAATTCCATTTATAACTTAAATGATTTTAGAATTATTTAATTATTAATATAGTGTCAAATTTAATATGATTTTATTCTTATTTGCTGACAAAAAAATTATGAAAGTGTTATTATTATTAATTACCACATAAGTAAGAAAAGGTTTACCAAATTAGGTAAATTTACCGGCCATATGATGATAGATTTAATAATATCTTGTAAACTTATTTTCAATTTGTAGATTCAATAAAAGAAATATAGATTTTAGTAAAAAAAAAGCTGTAGATTTATTTAATAAAGTTATTGTTATGTTGTGGTAAAGATGTTTGGGAATGATAGATTTGTAATAAGATTGGTATATTTAATATTAACGATTGCAAATTTGTATTTGACTAGTAAACTTATATCAAAAATATTGATTGCTAATAGATTTATTATGAAATGTGTAGATTTTTTTGATAATAGTTTAATTTTGAATATATAGACTTATTATTTATATTGGTAGATTTATCAGCGATGAGTAGTAATTGTTGTGATGACAGATTTACGTTGTTTGATGGTAACTATATTTTAGTGTATTAAATTTCTTATCAACAACAATATAGTTATTGATAGAGAATTGTATGTAGGGTTTTTAGAGAAACAACAGTAAATTTATTTGTTGTGTTGGTAGATTTGTTAAACAAACATCAGTAGGTTTAATAATAATGATGATAGAACTATATTCCCTCATAAATCTCGTCCATACATTTTTGATACATATACATGTTTTTGCCTCCAATGATCAGGTTTTCACGTTCCCAAAAAGAAAAACAGAAGAATAATTCAATTTGTTTGTTGCATTGTTTGGATTATAAGAGAGAGACATGTGTCGAGTGAAATTGGAGATAAACCGAATACAGAACATTAAGAATCCACAAGTCACGTTCTTGAAACGATGAAATGGTCTGCTAAAGAAAGCTTATGAAATGTGTATTCTTTGTGACATCGACATTGCTCTCCTCATGTTCTCTCCCTCTGATCGTCTTAGCCTCTTATCCGGCAAAACAAAGTTTCTTATTATATATCTTCACATTTTTTTTGTTCAATGCACAAATAAATATTAGAAGAAATATTTCGTTTTCATAAACTTTGGTGAGGATCAAAGACTTTTCACAAGATTCATCAATCTTCCTGACCAAGAACAAGAGAAGTAGGTTGAGCAATCTCCTTTGGTTCTTTTCCTAATATTTTTCCTGTTTATTGTCTAATTTAATTTGTTTATTCTCCGATCAGAGTCTACGCCCGTACGTAACTTACTCCTACTATTCCTCATATTTTTCTCTTATTAACAATTTAAACATTTTGATAGTTATAATCTAATTGGGATTTTCATGTTTTGACCACTTTTTTTGCAGAGATTTCCAGAGCAAAGAGGTAGTTAAGCATAATGTGTGTGGTTTTTAAAGATAATATATATATATATATATATATATATCTTATGAATTAGCTAGCTATTTTGTTTTATGATTTGAATTTGAAACATGAAATGTACCTTATCTCAGGTCCAGCGTAGGACAAAGATACTTCATATGGTGAAATTCACAATGATGTATATTATCAAATTTTTAGACATTATTTGTCATGTGACAGTATCTGTGGTAACCCAACCTGATAAACCGTACCGCGGCTGTGTTCCACTACATCCTCTAAGTCCGTTTCTATACTTAGCCATATTTTTGAACTTTTTCTTTAAACTTATTCTTTTTTATCAATACACAGCGGAATATAAAGCAACTCATTTCATTCATTTAACTTTCATAAAATACTTAAACAGGATTCGGGGCTAACTTAAACAAATCACATTGGTTCGCTAATGAATACAAACGATCATCTAGCAACCTAAATAGCCAAACACCAAAGCCATAAGACTCTAAACACAAGTCTTAACACAAATAAAACCAAGTCCCGATCCATCCATATCCATCACTGCCGCCTGATCTTGCCCTTTTACTGCTTAGTACCTGCACACTCAAGATGAGAGGCATAAGTATTTCATAAATACTTAGTGAGTACGGTCATCCCGTAACACCTGGTCAGTACCAAACACGCAGTCATACTTTCGGATTCAACATTCAACACAGTCAATTCGCAATAGACATCACAATATCAAACGACCATAATCATCTAGCCTAACCAACCAAGATCAATCCCTTTTTAAGACCCATGTCTACTTCAGCGAGAATCCCACATCCCCTAAGCTAGTACATGATCTGGATTACCCTGAGGTTAGCTAAACATCATATATGCCACGGTAAACACCACAATATATCACAACACAAGGATTGCTTATCAGTTCCAAACACATAACATGAAAATCACACAATCAACATGCAAACATTCAACCCTAGCAATCCTACGGTCCTAGACCAACCACAGTCACACACTCACCTTAGACAAGGCTGGAAACAGATTTTTCAGAAGAAATCCCGATGAAAACCGCACCAAAACGAAGATATCCGATCTCCCTAAGAATCTCTCGGCTCACGGTATGATCCGATCCTTATCCCCTCGGCTATCTCTTGATCTGTTCACCTTTCTTCGAGTCAAACTCTGTTTTCCCTCAGAAACCCCACAAAACAAGGCTATTAGCTCGAGGTTATCCGATGAAAACTCAACACTTAGGGAAATATCCGATCGCTTACCAGTTTATCTCGGCGATGGTCGGTTCTGCTCGGCGATAGCCTGATCTCTCTCGGATGTCCTCGGGATAAACTGTTTTTCTTAGGGTTTTCTCTCGACTATTCTCTTTCTTTGCTATATTGCTCTCGAATAAATACAACTCTCCCAAGAAAAGTCTCAAAATCCCTTAAATACTCGCAAAACCCTAGGTAACCCGAACTTATCCGATGTTTTCCCGGTTCCAGTAAGTTTTATCCCGGTCCGATTCGATTCTCTCGGCTATTCCCTGTACCGGCTCGACCATTCCTTCGATAAACCCCAAAATAGCCGACCAAACACTTGGCCCACGGTCCAAATCCCTTCCCACTCGGATAAACTGCCCTTATCCGAGGTGTTTTCCATTTTTCACCCGGATATTCCTATTTCTCTCGGACAACTTGTCCCACCTCGGCTAATCCTCTATTTCTCTCGGAGGTTTCCTATTCCCCCTCGGAGACAGTCCACTGACACTCGGACTAACCTCCCAGACTCTCGGATATATCCCACTGCACTCGGATAAATCCCATTTCCCTCGAACTGGACCCTGTTTTCCCTCGGATATGGTCCATCCGGCTCGGCTATCCAGCCCATACCCGACTATTTCCTCGGTCATCACCCGACCATAGTCCGAACCTCCATTTCCCAGCCAGTATCCGACACTTGGCTCGGTCATTCCTCGGACAACACCCTGTCCGGTACGATCATTCCTCATTTTCTCGGATACGGATGCTACAACTCTCCCCCACCCGTTCTGGATTCGTCCTCGAATCCGACTCATCCGTTTGCAATTTGTCAAACCATTTGGGATACTCAGCTTTCATCCTAGCCTCCTTTTCCCAAGTAACCTGTTCCTGCCCATCGCAGTCCCATACGACCTGAACCATTTTGACCAGCTTCCCACGCTTAGTCTTTTCTTTCCATCCTATTACTCGAATCGGTCTAGCCACTACTGCAAGGTCCTCTTGCAAATCTGCTGGCGGCTCCTCTATAACCGTTTCCCGTTCGATAATATGCTTTCTCAGCTGTGACACATGGAATACATTATAGAACGCTCCCATTTCTGATGGCAAGTCCAACTTGTAAGCCACTGCGCCAATCCTTTCCAGTATCTGGTACGGCCCCATGTACCTCGGATTCAACTTGGCACTCTTAGCTGCCCTATCTGTTCCCTTATAAGTCAGTGCCTTAAGATAAACCATATCACCCACACTGAACTCCAAATCCCTGCGATGCTTGTCCGCATAACTTTTCTGCCTGTCCATAGCCTCTTTCAGCTTAACCTTTAACAATCTGATCTTTTCTGTAGTAGCCTCGACCACTGCTGGCCCCATTACACTACGCTCCCCCACTTGTGTCCAACACAATGGTGTCCTGCACGGCCTGCCATACAACACCTCATACGGAGACATCTCTATGCTCCTTTGGTAACTATTGTTGTATGCAAATTCAGCCAACGGTAAGTAGTCTTCCCAACTACCACCCCAGTCCAGTACACACGCTCTCAACATATCCTCCAATGTCCTGATCGTCCGTTCTGATTGCCCATCAGTCTGAGGATGATACGCTGTACTCATATGTAACCGCGTCCCACACGCTTCCTGGAACTCTTTCCAGAACCTCGAAGTAAACTTCGGATCACGATCTGAAATGATACTCACTGGCACTCCATGCAACTTCACGATCTGATCAATATACATGTCCACCAACTTTGGTACTCCATCAGTCTTTTTCATTGCTAAGAAGTGAGCAGACTTGGTCAAACGATCCACAATAACCCATATCCCGTCATGCAACTTCCTAGTCTTAGGTAACCCCAATACAAAGTCCATGGTGATCATGTCCCATTTCCATTCTGGCATTGGCAACGCCTGCAACAAACCACTCGGAAACTGATGCTCTGTCTTAACCAATTGGCACGTCTCACATCCGGCTACCCACTTAGCCACATCACGTTTCATCCCAACCCAATGATAGTACCGTTTCAAATCCTGATACATCTTGGTCATTCTCGGATGAACAGAAAACCTTGACTGATGTGCCTCCTTAAGGATTTCATCCCTTAACTCCTTCACATCTGGAACACAGACCCGTCCGTTCACAACAATGGTCCCAT